TCCTGGGGACCTGCTTCCATGCGGAGTATTCCCTCGAAATGTTTCATCCGCACTTGCAGGTCTCTTTTGGCCTCGTGTCGGTGTTGCATAACAGCAAGTTAGCCATCACCAAACTAGCTCCTTTTATAACCATTCTCATACATAATGAGTAATAGGCTCGAAAAGATAAGTGGGCTCTCATGTTTTTTATAATACTCGTTTAGGTCATTCAGCCTATATCGGCTTCTAACTCTATCAAGCCTGACAGCTTTTCCATTCGATGAGTGTGTGCCAATTTACCATGATTCGGCATATCGTTTTCTCACCATTGGGTCTGTGACGATTCGTCATACGTGGGAGTATTAAATAATCCGTACGCCTCCTTCCATCACATCAGAAGATTGACCCAGTCGTAGTCAACAGTGGCGAAATAAAAATAGCGATAACTGAGTGGTATATAGCTGACAAGTTCTGCATCAGGTTGCTTCGTCTTCAAATAATTTGCTTTGTTTTTGCCCTCGATTCGCTTATCCTACTCACACCTCTAGTTGGCACTCGTTGACCAATCATGTGATCTTGCATTTGATTGGTTGCAGTTCGAACCTCTATCGATTTAATTGTACTGCGCGTGTGTGCGGACAGTTTTCGCCATACATACCTTTCGGTTCTGCTCTAGTCTGCTGTTTCTTCGGGATACAACAGGTTGTAAACAGGGAATACAGAAAAAGTAAAGGTTATGTAAAAGGCTCTATGAACGATTTGGTGATAGATCCAGCGACTCCAAACAATCGAGTTGTAGACTAATTGGTGTGGAAAGTGGACTTCACAGAGTAGCAAGAACTGCCACAGGTAGATGATTTGTTTTCTCCGGAAAAAAGTGACAAGAATTAGCAGTGTGCGGTAAATGTAGAGGGTAGGGAATGGTAGTTTTACATGGCGAAAGGCGAGATAACGTGACGTTGGAATGAAAATATGTTTAATTGTTTAACTAAACGATGAAGATATTAATTGAGGTTCTTCGCAGCCAGTTTCTAAATCAGATGGTCGTCCACATGCCCGGAGAAGCCCTCGACCGCAGTTTCAGCCTGATGGAGATATTATTCAGACAGTTTACACATATTATCGTGCCATATATCTTCGAAATAACTTGACTGCCATTCCCGCAGATCAACCTGTGCTCATTGGCTTAGAAGATACACTATGGCTAGTGATCCCATCTACTGATCTTCTAGTGGGTTGTATCTATCGGCCGCCTCGAATTACTCAATGTGCAACTCAAAAGCTAATCGATATGATCAATGTTGCTTCCAGCACCATATACAAATCCAAAATTATGTGTGAAGACTTCAACCTATCACACGTTAACTGGATGCTGCTTACCCTCAGAAACACGGCGGAGATTGAGAAAATTATCGCATGTATCCACCTCAATGGCTGGACTCAGCATGTTAAAGAGCCAACTAGAAGTGCTACTACCTTAGACGTTGTATTCACGATGGGAATCGCGAACGCTTATACATTCACTGATAATCCACTATCTGGCTGTGATCACAACACGGTGCTTTGTAATATGACTATTGATTTACCTAAACGACCAAGTAAAATGCTAAAACCCATTCGCAACCTCCATCGTGTGGACTGGAACGCATTTAATGAACTTATCAGTACCATGAATTGGAATAAGTCATTCCTAACTCACAACCCTACTGTGGCTACATAGGGGTGAACTCAAGCTTCTGCCCAAAGCCAAAATCAAACTAAAGAAACTCAAATCGCTATATCGCAGGAACAACAGCTTCGCAACATTGCTACAAATACACGAGAACTTACTATATTTACGTCTAACCCTAACCGTCAAAATCAAAGAAAAAAGCCGGGTACTCATAAATCCTGAGAAAGTACGTACATTGATGCAACTACTCAAAAGAAGGAACCCTAAACCACTTTAGGAAATTGAAACGTTGGCTCTAGACAATGGTTCAATAACGCGCGACATCTCCTGTATATGCGAGGCCATGAACTCTAGTTTTGCCTCCTCTTTTGTCCCCAACATTCAGCCACTTCATCCTCCACTTCCAAAAAGAACGACCGAACTATACTGCAATATCCCTGTGACGTTAAGAGAGGTGCAAAGTGCCATCGCAGCCATAAAACCATCAACTCATCCAGGTCCAGATGGCATCTCCCCAAATGTTATAAAACTCGGAGGAAAAAACCTCGCTCTATTGTTATTAAACATTTTCACACTTTCACTCATTACCGGCTGCTTTCCAGCTCAATGGAAGCAATCCATTATAATGCCTAAGCACAAGGGTGGACCGAGAAATCAAATGTCAAGCTACCGCCCAATAAATCACACCTCTGCTGCTTCCAAAGCCCTAGAGCGAATAGTCAAGAAGAACATCGTCCAATATCTTACAAGACTGGATCTGATCAACCTTTCACAGCACGGCTTTTTCTCAAAACGCTCCTGCGTTACATGCCAGCTACAATTTCTCGATCACATCACGACTATGATTGACAGAAGAATGGCAATTATTATAATTCTGTTGGACATGCAAAAGGCGTTCAACTGCGTGCCACACCAGCCACTGCTGTCTGCTCTAGAGTCATATGGAATTGGAAATCTGCTGCTTAACTGGTTCGACTCATACCTAAACGGTCGAACTCAGGTCGTTAAAATCGGTCAGCAACAGAGTAAACACGTTGAGCGCGGGAACTTACAAGGCGGTCGAGCCAGGGTGTAAGGAGGATTAAAACAGGAAGAACAAGAAGGAAAAATTAAATTGTACATGAAAGATAAAAGTTATCTTTTTGGGCGTTACAGTATCCAGCATTGTTCCAAACGATTGTTTAAACTCAGTCGCAATTCAGTAGGTAGTCTGTTCCAGATATCGAAATACTTCGTCAGATAAAACTTCCTGCGTATGCTTGCTTTTGTTCGACTAGTGGGAAGCCAATTTCTCTTATTCCTTATATTATACCACTTATTCTGACTGAAGTGTATACAAGTGTGGGGGCCAAATACTCGTTTATGTACTAAGTCGAATAGAAACGTCAGGCGCAGTTTTAACTTCCGTAACCACAACGGCTCAAATTCAAGCAGAGTACAGCGCTCTGAATAGTTTGTTGGGGATTCGGTAAATGGAGCTTTGGTGAATCGACGCTGCAAATTCTCCAAACATAGACGATCGCGTTTCCTACAACTGGTAAATACCATTGAACACCACTCCAAAAGAGGGCGCACGGAGATCTTGAACATATGCAGCTTGGAATCATGCAGTATCAGTGATTTGAAGATTAACCGCGGTGTTTGGTTGCTAGGAATTCGATCTGCTCCCCGAAATTGAGAGTGCTTGAATAATGAATACCTAAATCCCTTATTGTGTTGCTGAATGGAATTGACTTTCCAGAGGTATAGGGTGTTCATATCTATTTTGCATCAATGTGCTAAGATCCCGCATTTATTCGCCGCGAATGACATTTGCCAGTTGTTACACCATCTTTCGAGAGCTCATAAATCACTTTGTATCTTATCTAAAGTTTGTTTCAGATTTCTAGGATTAAAAGTATACATTACTTTAATACCATCTTCAAAAACGTAAGCTAGACAAATTTTAATAGTTTTTGTTATGTTATTAATGTACATCATATAGTTTTGACGTGCAGTGGTCCAAAGACGCTCCCTTGGATCACACCAGTAGGAATAGGTAGCGATGATTACCCATGAATACCAGGTTGCGCTTAAGTGTGAGCAGTAAGATTTGGTCTAAACCAAGGATGCAAGGGGTCGACGGTGCCAAATTTTGACATTTTCCATAGCAGGGGTGCCATTTTGACATGTTCCATGCCATGTAGCACTCCATCAAATGCCTTTTGCATGTCGATGAAAAGGATGATAGCTGCATGACCATTATCCACAGAGCTTGTTTAACAATTCAGGAATTCCAGCTGGCATGTTTGACATGATTGTTTCCGTATAAAGCCATGCTGAGTCTGGTTAATCAGGTTTTGTGAGATCAAACGATTTCAGTAACTGAAAAATGCCCATTTAGTCATCAAGAACAAGGCACCGAAGGTAAACAATTGTTTTCGTTGAATTCCTCGTCAGACCTGTACAATCATATGGGTAAAGCGCAACGGAAGTAACAATGGTTTCGATCAGTTCAAATGAAATAGAATCACGTGCCAACTGGGGGCATAAACCAGCAATAAACCTAAACGATAAGCGTACACTAGGGCAAAGATATAGTCAAATGATTTCTTCCGGCCTCCGAATCGTCCACCTTTTCTGGCCATGGTAAACTGAGGGCTTCGATCAGTTTCTTTTGTGAACACAAAAGCGGTTGATACAACCGAATACTGATCGCCTCAGCTGTAGCGAGGGTACGGAGGCGCAGGCCTTTCGATTGCAGTGGCGGAACCTTGTAGAGTATTCGAAAGGCGCGGACTGGATCGACTTCGTGCCCACTATCAACTAGATGAGCCATAATAGAGCTAGTTATAGCCCCGGTACCGCCTCCACGCAACCAGCGTGGAAGGTGCGCATTAATGCGCTTTACCCATATGATTGTACAGGTCTGACGAGGAATTCATCGAAAACAATTGTTTACCTTCGGTGCCTTGTTCTTGATCAAACGGTTTCTTGTTTTTGACCATTCGCTCCATTACCGGTCACCGAGTTAACCCCGATGAGTCATTCACCGTCCTTATGCGCAACCAACGGCCCCACATTCTCAGGCTATTGGAAGCCATGGTCATGGATCGAGAGCGGTCGCTGCTTTGTGTGCAGAAACAGTTGACTGTGAATCCTAACCTACCGTGGTAGCGTGATTGGCCAACAATTGGCTAACTTAATCACATAGGATCGCGTTTTGTATATCTATGATTTTCGCATGATTTTTGATTGAGAAGCTTGCACGAAATAACTGGGTTATCTAGCAGTATACGTCTTCTGATTCTTCTTAGTGAATTAATGAGTTTTCCAGGAAGATTTTACTCTCCATGACAACAACGAACTTTTTAAAGCAGCATATAATATTACAACGTTACGACTGTACAAATTTAAGGAAATGCACATCCAAGGAGCTTTGTGTTCACCAGACATTATCCGTGGAACTCCGGACCCAAATCGGTAGTCTGAAAAAGAAGAAATACGTATGAAGCAAACGACCACTTACGTTTGTGTCCATGACTGTGTCTGTAGAAGATACAGCTGTGGGTTTGTTATGCCGCACCGAACGGAGCCATGCTCTAATACAAGCTGATATACGTTCGTAGGACACTGAATTGCCTAATCGTTCCCCAATAAAAACTACCGAATCACATGATCCACTCAGGCTGACGCTTACCATGTATTATTCCATTAATGTTAGTCCTTTTAAAGGCAAATGTGTGTCCTGCACCGGAGTAGGTTATTTTCGCTGCAACGGAGCGCAACATGAGACGTTGCATTGTGTCGCGAACCAGCTGTCGCACAGTGTTCCCGGTAACACCAAAGAAGTGCGGAATCTGAAATTCATTATGATAACATCACACCATCATACCAAACGAGTTTTCACTGATGGATCATGCAGCTGTGAGTCGAATGTTTTCAGTTCATCAATCGAAACAAACGGAAGTGGAAGAGAAAGCGTCTCATTATCCATTAATCGCTGCAACAAACGATTGTTAGCTTCGTAATTCCGGCGAAGGGAAACGACTTCCGCTCGCAACAAACGTAATTCACCTAAAATATGCGTGCATATTTAAGTCACAACGCTTGATTGAATACTTCTAATGGTTTTCATCTCCTGTGAAGTAGTAGCTGCTACTGCTATTTCTTGAACTCCCGGCGAAGTAGCTGTGGTGTAAACAAAAATACGAAAACCTTACTTGCGGCGGAGTCTGATGTCACAGAACAGAAGGGGTTCAATGCAATAGACAAATCAGTTCGATCAGACGCATATTGTTCGGCTTCTGGCTCTTGCTTCAGCACAGTTTGTTGGGCATCATCATCCCCGGAGATGGCAGAAACGCGTCGTCGTCTGTGACAAATAGACGAGGATATATTAGCACTCACATTGGACGTTTTGTAGGTAATGCTGGTGAAATTGTCTCGTCCGTCGAAAATAAGAGACCCCGTCCAAAATCCTGCTCTACACCGTTTGCATGTTGACTGCCGGCTAAGGAAATCAGTAACAGTGAACCATATTTACCTGTGCTAACAAGATCAGACGCAGGAGTAGAATCGTCATCGCAAATCGCCGTCGTGACTGGTTCCATAGTAGCGCAGTAAGCACCATGAATAACTGCGTGAGGAATGAAGACTAACAATACACAGTATCCATACCCATATCGTTGTTGGTCGCACAGTTAGATTGGGCAGCACGCTGCTTAGGGGCTATAGTGACGTAACCATCAGTAGATTTCTTTGTAAGACGGTACATCGTACTCCACTTGTAAGTGCTCCCAGGAGGACACTTCAATGACATCTTGGCCAGTCATACTAAAATAGATTTGTAAAGAAACTTCAAACATCCCAACGCAAAAGAAGATAGAAGAAACTGCGACAGCTGAAACAACAGCAAAGGAAAAAGTGAAGGAACGGTTCTCATGTAGAGTAAATTGAATATGGGTCCAGAGACGACTGCGAACAGCAGCTGACATACAAACAATTGATTTCACCGCACTTTCGAGAGCAGAGGTGAGATCCCATGTCAACCTCATTTATCACACTTCAGCACAAGAAGCATTTATGCCTATGTGATCAGATAGTCCTTAGTGAACCGGAGCAGAAGAGGGAAACAGCGCAGTTTCGGGATCTTACATGAATGGGAGTCCAACGACCACTCGGAGCTTTCTTCAATCTGAGCAATCACAAAGGTTTTCGGAAAAGAGTCAAAGTAGTTTACGACCCGAGTAGATAGAGCGAAAGCAAAATGAACTTGGAGTCACTTCATTGTAAATAGCCCACAGTTATGACCTCGTGTCTATCCCTTTGTCGAGTTAGAGAAACTGCCGTGGTCCGTTCTTGAGGACACTCCTTACTAGGCGCTTGGTAGGTACGAGGCTTCCAGGGCGACGATGGCAGTTCAGTGAGAAGAGATCCAAATGTTGGAAGGTGTAAAAATAAATCAAGAAACCAAGAGAACGACGAGTTACCTCTCTGGAATTGTTCAATCATGTCACATTCAAAGTCCAGGAGTTGAAACGTGTCTGGAAAACCATACACAAAATCGGCCGTAAGTGGGAAGTAGACAAGAGACTGCAGAACAAGTGCTCGGCTCGGAAAAGAAACGAAAACCAGAAGAGCCTGAAGATTTTCTGTATCATTCAGGAGAATGGTCATCATTATGGCACAGGCCATCCTGATTTTAGTAGTGACTCGCATCAGTGTATTCTAGATGGTTTAGAGATCAGAGAGGAACTCCCATTCAAATATGGTAGGTTTCAAGTGGTTCAGATGTACTAATGGAGGGGAAGCAGCATTTTGTGGTTAGTGAATACGTCCAGCTTTACGTACTAATCGTATAGATCTATATGGCCTGTACTCTATTAGCAGTATCAAGGTCAGACAGTTCAAAGTATTGCCTTAGGTTCTCGACATAGGCTATGCATTCGGCTTGATAAAAGGGCATCAGCATTATGCCGGTACGCAGTATCGACGTTTAGCTACCGCACAACCACCAGCAGTCGCGCGTGGGTTAGGGATAGTGCGAGGGTCGCCCGGTCCCCTACGCAAGCTCAGACCTGCGACTTCAGAATTACAAGGCGGGCTTGTGATCCTTAAGGCCACGGACCGGTCATTCGGTTTGAAGTGTGAAAAAATAATATTGATGGACAACTGGATAAGTTCATGTTCAAGAATAGAACTTTGAGAAACCCTGCTGGTCATGAGCACCGAGTTGGAAAGCACTTCGTTCGATTTCATTTTCACGGTTCGGCCGTCTGACAAATCCGCGATCCAAAAGTAAAGGTTACCGTTGACACCGAGTAGTCATTGATGCAGGAATTTATCGAAGGTCTGCTAAATTCGACGTAAGCATCAGCTAGTCTTTGACCGTAAACAATTGATTTCGAACACTTAATTTGTGCAATATGCAGGCTGGCGGTGTAATAGTACCCATTTCGAAAGCTATGGTACATAGAGGAATCGATTTTAACCACAGTTTTTCTGGAAGGAATGCTTGATAATGCTTTTAGGGCTGCGAATTATTGATGTCAAGCAGGTTTGGCGGTATTTCATGGAGTCTTGACGATTCTTCCTTTTGTACTTGGGCGTCAAGATGCCTGGTTTACAGTCCACGGCCTGCTTTCAGAGAGGTAGGGCGACAGATGGATGTATCGACCAAGTCAGCCACCGTGTTGAGGGACAGCGGAAGCAGCCTCCCATGACCAGATGAAAAGTTCAGAGCCAGCTCAAGAAAAGGTTTAACAACAGTTTCTGTATTCAGTTTGAAATGTTCTACACAATAAGGGTGTACTGAATCATAGATGTTAATTAATGGAACTTCCGACGAATATACGGAGTTGTACTTTATATTCGTATAAAACAGTACTTGTCGTTAACTAATAAAGCGAGCACGTCATGGTCGGTCTTGGTCCCTCTGTACAGATAAGCGTAGTTGTGGGGTCTGGACACTGACTGTTCAGACAGACTATGCTCGCAATGAAGCCCTTTCTCGCGCTCTTCCAAGGAACACCTTTGACCTCCTGTCAGTTGGAATAATCCGGGGACAGTTGAGACGCGTCGAATCCGTTCTACAGTTTATTCTGTGTATTCATTAGAAGTTCTAGTTTCCGGTCGCTTCAAGATTGATTTTTCGTGATGAACTTTATTCCGTAGTATTGGACAACCTGTTCAACGAGCGAGTTCATTTGAAGTGTAAGAGTCCCGGCACAATCGAGGTTTGACTTTTGAACATTCCAGTCCAGTATGCGATCTTCCGCTCTTAGACAAGATGGATTGGTGCGCCAGAAGTTTCGGCGGTGGAATCCTCAATTTCGAGTGACGCAGTGTCGCGTCCATGTGAGGAAAGGGACACAGGGATGACTGTGACCAACCGGTGAGAGTAGTCAGTTCAGATAAGCTAGATAGTACGGGAGTAAGCAACAGACTGAGGATGTGCGATGGCTGAATCGGAAGCATATTGGGTAGGGGGTGGGGTGAGGAAACATGCTTCAAGCACTGCTCCAAAAAAACTAGCATCAAACTGATCTGAGGGGTACCTGTAGCAGAGCAGACCCCATTCAACAACAAACCATCATCATCAACAGCAGTACATTCGTTATCTTAACTGAAGCTTCGCCGCCGTACAACTACAAAGACATAAGGAATGAAGAATAAGAGACAGGAGAGAAGAAATACCTAGTGTGAAACCTGAGTGCCGTAAGCAAACGTTCAGAGGCGAGGCGCCAACACTGTGACAACATACCGTCACAAACAGCTGGATATCCTGTAAAGATAAAATGATATCGGTGAAACAACTTCTTTGCAACTTTCACTGCCCGTGTCACAATCAGCCATTACCCGACAGAAAACTCAGCAACAAACACACTTTAAACAGGCAGGCTGACTAGGTGACGACATCAAACGTGCCATTGGTGCTGACTGCGAGTCATGTCTTGTAGTACCTTGAGCCAAGTACAGGGAGTCTCGTGGACTGCAGCCTGGAAGACGAAACGGACCAACGGCACCTAGTTTGGTTGTCAGTGCTTTAAGAAATCAGTTCTAGCTGTGAAGTGAAGTGACTACAGTGGTTATGCGTGCGTCGTTGCTGATGTAACCGCCAAGGTAGGTGAACTGATCAACTGCCCCGAATTCCTCGTTCGCAAGAGGCAGGTGATCCTACAACAACACCTTCCATTTTGAAAGTGAGGGCCGCATGTCAAATGGTGGGACCACTTAAAGAAGATATACAGCGTCGACTTAGCCACTCCAACATCGAAACTTGCCCTCTCTTCTGTAATCTGGAATTCCCGTTCTGTAGTGAAGCAATGAATGAGAACTAAGAATAGTAACTGTCACCTCTGAGGTCAGACTAATACCTTAGCATTCAGTACAATTGTCCTTCTTGCATATTACCACTACGACTGATTCGCTCCAGTTGACTGAGATGGTCCTTATTTTCCAGGCCTGTAGGAACAGGGAAGTCATTACTTTGCAGTGGACTTCATTACCCTCCTTAAATAGTGTGGGTGCAAGAGAACTCGGACAAGCTGGCTTAAAACGACCGAATGATATGATTACGTTTCGGACCTCAGACCACATTGGAGTCTATAAACTAACTGACCACGGTTCAGCCTGCACCACCTGTGTGGGAGCAGGTCCGAGAACAGGAAGCAAAATAAACTGCTCACGAAAGCGTCCCGCTCAACTAACCATCTGGCGCACCTTATTGTCCGTGCTGTCTATGATTAGCAGTCTGACGTCAGGGACCAACGATGCAGATCAGTTTGAAGAGCTTTCGATAATTGCGTATTGTTCCCACATGCCCTATTTGTTGGGCAGTACTGGTCCACCAGGCTACCTGATCAGTATGTAGAGTCCGTTTTAGTTAGCGTTTAAAATCCCATATGGTTACACTATACTCAGAGTCAGCCGGTATTTTGCTTCTGGATCCCAACTGATCCATCGACCACTTGGGTATCCAATGACAGGTGCGGCGACGAGTGATAGTGTCACAAGCAAAGTCTACGCCACGGGTGGCGAAGATGAAGCGTTCAAAGGTTTACGAAGAGTTGCACAATCCGGAAAACACGCTAAAGAAAACTAAAACAAGCTGTGGGGAGTAGTGACGGTAGTCTTAGATATGTGTTCTTCCTCGACAGATATAAGATGGTAGGCACGAACGAGATCAATCGTGCTGAAGACCGTCCTATCTGTGAGGCATATACGGAGGTCCTGCATGTGTAGGATGGAGTACCTGTCACGGACCGTCAATTGTTTAGTGCGCGATAGGTATTGCAAGGACACCAGTCCCCAGCTTTCTTTAGGACCATTTGTACTGGCGAAGACCAGGGGTTGTCTTGAGGAAATACTACTCTGTGTTCGAGCATGTGATCAAACACTGTCATAGTTACGGCCCGTGGTCCCCTAACCCCGGACCGGTACCAGTCCGTGGATCAACTGGTACCGCACCACCCAAGAAACAGCAACTTTCCATTCTATTTACTGTGGGGTATTTCTCTCAGGATTATGTGAGTTTCCATGGACGAGACGTTAACCGGGAGTTGAGCGGCTACGACTGGCAGCGGCCTTGTAGGTTTGGTGGAGAGAAAATATGTATCACTCGTCTTTCTGTAATAAGTAAATGCCATAAGAGCGCCGCATGCGCATCGTTTGGGCAGAGTAAGGGCTTATGGCAAACTGACGGTGTCCTTCAATACATCATCCGGAGGTGTAAAACAAAGTTACTCGCCGTAACCAATCCTTTGTAAGTTCACCATCTACGGAATCACAGAAACGGTATTCACGGGACACAATTTGTGTTGAGCTGTTTCATGGTGAGCGACTTCTTGATTTAGGTGTATGCCGATGACACTGCCCTCATCTATGACAGCTCTCAATCAGCACTGGACAAGTTAATACCTACCGTCAATCGTTTCGACCATGGCTGTGTTTGTAGTTTAGCACATGTCCGGTGGGAACATCGCGTGAGCAATGTGGGTGTTCGGCGTCGTGTATTTGGTGCAGAAAGAGCGAGTGAACGCTCAGCACCACTATAGCACACAACAGACTCCAAGTGTTTTCACGTGTAGCAAACGCAAACACACCGACTCCCGCGAAGTGCGTTGTTTGCGCGACTGGTGTGGATGGAAAAAGCGAAGAAGCCGACGGATGACTTGGTCTAGAGGGATGAAGACAAGCACTTCGAACTTGGCGTCGGTATGTGTCTACCGATAGTTTGGCTGGTGTCCCAAGGACGATGAACACGTTTGGTTGGACATACTAGTTGACATGACGAAGAGCCAACCTCCATGGCGTTGATATTGTGTTTCTTCGTCCCGTCCGTTTCCACTTAGCATCCCCCTCTAATGACGATCTCCTACTCTAAAATATTAAAATTAATGATGATAATAATAATATGATACTTAGTATGTTATTTTGTTCTAGTTTTCAGTACTTTGTAGTGTGTATTATTCCGGCTATTTCATAGCTTAATTTTTAAAATTCGACACAATAGCTGAAGGGTGTTTTTTCCTTCAGTTAACG